ATCTGAGGTCAGGAGTTTGAGACCAGGCTGGCTAACGTGGTGAAACCCCATCACTACCACAAAAATACAAACATTAGCCAGGCGTAGTGGTATGCACTTGTAGTCCCTGCCACTCGGGAGGCTGAGGCAGGAGAGTCACTTAAACCTGGGAGGTGCAGGTTGCAGGGAGCCTAGATGCTGCCACTGCACTCTAGCCTGGACAACAGAGCCAGAGTCCATCCCAAAAAAAAAAGAAAAAAGAAAATGGGAATAAAGAGAATATTCTACCAGCTTCCAGAGACAAACAGACCTTATACATTGAGCAGAAATCAGTAACAAAACATTTATTAACAGCAACTTGGGAATCTAGAAAGTAATGAAGCAACACCTTTAAAGTTCTGATGGAAAATTATTTCCAGCCTAGAATTCTGTACTAAACAGACAATCAATCAAGCCTGAGGGGCATGGTTACTTTTAGACATTCAAGGTCTCAGAAAAATGTTCCTGACCACGCATGGTGGCTCACGCCTGTAATCCCAGCACTTTGGGAGGCTAAGGAGGGCAGATCACTTGAGGTCAGGAGTTCCAGACCAGCCTGGTCAACATGGTGAAACCCTGTCTCTACTAAAAACACAAAAATTAGCCACGTGTGATGGCGGGCACCTGTATCCCACTACTTGGGAGGCTAAGGCAAGAGAATTGCTCAAACCCGGGAGGTGGAGGTTGCAGTGAGCCGAGATCACGCTACCGCACTCCAGCCTGGGCAACAAGAGCAAGGCTCCATCTCTAAATAAATAAATAAATACACTGGAGCACTCATAGAAGGTAACCAAGACAAAGTGGAGGCCAGAAGGCAAAGACCGTTTCAAAAGATTAAAGTGAAAATCTAATGAATGTAAATATTTTGGGAGATGATTTAGACAATTCTAAAAGTTTAGAGTCAAATTAGTAGAGTTTGACAAAAAGAGTCAAACTCTGTAAAATATTTTAAGAGACTTATTCTGAGCCAAATATGAGTAACCATGACCTATCACGCAGCCCTCAAAAGGTCCTGAGAGCATGTGCCCAAGGTGGTCGGGTTGCAGCTTGGTTTTATATATTTTAGGGAGGCATGAGACATCAATCAAATACATTTGAGAAATACAGTGGTTTGGTCCATTAAGACGGAACAACTGGGGGTGGGAGTGCTTCCAAGCTATAGGTAAATTTAAACATTTTTTGTTGGCAACAGATTGAGTTTCTCTAAACAGAAAAGAATATCTGGGTTAAGATGGAGGTTGTGGAGACCAGAGTTGCTGTTGTTGTTGTTATTGTTGTTTTCAAGACAGACTTTCACTCTGTTGCCCAGGCTGGAGTGCAGTGGTGCAATCTCAGCTCACTGCAACCCCCATACCCCTGGTTCCAGCAATTCCCCTTCCCCTCCCGAGTAGCTGGGATTACAGGCGCAGGCCACCATACCCGGCTAATTTTTTTATATCTTTAGTTGAGACGGGGTTTCACTATGTTGGCCAGACTGGTCTCGAACTCCTGACCTCAGGCAATCCACCCACCTCAGCCTCCTAAAGTGCTGGGATTAAAGGTGTGAGCCACCGCGCCAGGCCACTTTTATTTTTTAAATGGAGTCTCACTGTGTTACCCAGGCTGGAGCGCAGAAGCATGATCTTGGCTCACTGCAACCCCCACCTGTTGGGTTCAAGAGATTCTCGTGCCTCAGCCTCCCCAGTAGCTAGGATTACAGGTGCCCGTCACTACACCTGGCTAATTTTTATATTTTCAGTAGACACGGGGTTACACCACGTTGGCCAGGCTGGTCTTGAACTCCTGACCTCAAATGATCCACCAGCCTCTGCCTCCCTAAGTGATGGGATTATAGGCTCGAGGGCTCGGCTGAGAACAGAGGTTTTTTTTTTGTTTTTGTTTTGAGATGGAGTCTCGCTCTTTCACCCAGGCTGGAGTGCAGTGGCCGGATCTCAGCTCACTGCAAGCTCCGCCTCCCAGGTTCACGCCATTCTCCTGCCTCAGCCTCCCGAGTAGCTGGGACTACAGGCGTCCGCCACCTCGCCCGGCTAGTTTTTTGTATTTTTTTTTTAGTAGAGACAGGGTTTCACCGTGTTAGCCAGGATGGTCTCGATCTCCTGACCTCGTGATCCACCCGTCTCAGCCTCCCAAAGTGCTGGGATTACAGGCTTGAGACACCGCGCCCGGCCGAGAACAGAGTTTTATCATACAGATGAAGCTTTTAGCTGGCAGGCTTCAGAGAGAATAGGTTGCGAAATGTTTCTTATCAGTCTTAAAGTCTGTGTCTATGTTAATATCGGAGATGTATAATGAGGCAGGTTCAGCCCCCACTTCCCATTACGGCCCAAAACAGCCTCACAGGTTAAATGTTAAGAGCCCTGGCTAAGGAGGAAGCCCATTCAGATGGTTGGGGGGCCTTAGAATTTTATTTTTGGTTTACAGCAGTAAGTACATAGGCAGCTACGTAACAACAAAAAAAGGCAATTATTAGCACCAGAGAAAACAAGAAGTGCAGGAAAAGTAATCTGTATAACATACGGTTCAGCTGTAACAGGATGTTTATTCACACTATCATTAGGAAAAAAAACACTGGGCCTGGCCCGGTGGCTCACGCCTGTAATCCCAGCACTTAGGGAGGCCGAGGTGGGCGGATCACTTGAGGTCAGGAGTTTGAATCAAGCCTGGCCAACATGGTGAAACCCCGTCTCTACTAAAAATACAAAAAAATCAGTCGGGTGTGCTGGCGGGCGCCTGTATTCCCTGCTACTCGGGTGGCTGAGGCAGAAGAATGGCGTGAACCCGGGAGGTAGAGCTTGCAGTGTGACGAGATCCCGCCACTGCACTCGGCCTGGGAGACAGAGAGAGACCCTTATCTCAAAAAAAAAAAAAAAAAAAAAAAAATCAGTCGGGTGTCCTGGCGGGCACCTGTAAGCCCAGCTACTTAGGAAGCTGAAGCAAAACTGCTTGAACCGGCGAGGCGGAGGTTGCATTAAGCAGAGAGTGCGCCACTGCACTCCCGCCTGAGCAACAAAGAGACACACTGTCTCAAAAAAAAAAAAACAACCCTGCATACTGATCTAACCAAAATTGAACACAGGTACAATGGCAGATTAGGGAGCTGGGGAGGCCCCGAAGGTGGAAGTCTGTGGGTGTGTTGGGGGTGAGGGGAAAGAGGTCAGGAGGTAATAAAAATGATACCTACTATACATGGGTTAAATCAATAGACCACAATAGTACAACACCAAATTCACAAAGTGGAAAGAAGTTTCTCCTGAGGAATATTAAATTAAATAGGGATGAGGGGTGATGGGAATGCATAGCTTTTTTTTTTTTTTTTTTTTTGAGATAGAGTCTCGCCCTGTCATGTCACCCAGGCTGGAGTGCAGTGGCGTGATCTCGGCTCACTGCAACCTCCGCCCCCCGGGTTTAAGCGATTCTCCTGCCCCAGCCTCTTGAGAAGCTGGAACTACAGGCGCATGCCACCACGACATCCAGCTAATTTTTGTGTTTTTGGTACACACGGGGTTTTACCATGTTGTCCAGGATGGTCTCGATCTCTTGACCTCGTGATCCGCCCGCCTTGGCCTCCCAAGGTGTTGGGATTATAGGCGTGAGCCACCGCGGCAGGCATGGAATGGCTAGTTTTCAACGTGCCTTTTAGAAATACTTCACCAGCCGGGGCGCGGTGGCTCAAGCCTGTAATCCCAACACTTTGGGTGGCCAAGGTGGGAGGATCACTTGAGCCCAGGAGTTCCAGACTAGCTGGGCAACATAGTAAGATGCCATTTCTACAAAAAAAAAAAAAAAAACTTTAAAAAATTAGCCGGGCGCGGTGGCTCACGCCTGTAATCCCAGCACTTTGGGAGGCCGAAGCGGGCGGATCACAAGGTCAGGAGATCGAGACCATGGTGAAACTCCGTCTCTACTAAAAATACAAAAAATTAGCCGGGCGCGGTGGTGGGCGCCTGTAGTCCCAGCTGTGGAGGCTGAGGCAGGAGAAATGCGTGAACCCGGGAGGCGGAGCTTGCAGTGGGCCGAGATCGCGCCGCTGCACTCCAGCCTGGGCGACGGAGGGAGACTCCGTCTCAAAAAAAAAAAAAAAAAAAAAATTAGCCGGGCGTGGCAGCCTGCACCTGTAGTCCCAGCTACTCCAGAGGCTGAGACGGGAGGATCGCTTGAGCCCAGGAGTTTGAGGTTGCAGTGAGCCAAGATCGTGTCACTGCACTCCAGCCTGGGCAACAGCAAGACCCTGTCTTTAAAAACTAAATAAAACAGAACATAACGAAATTAAACAAAGAGAATAGGGACGACTCTTGGGTTGGGTTTTGTTAGTCTGTTTGTTTCTGGTTTGTTTAGTCTTTCAACTGAGGATCTGAATGGGTGAAGATACTTTCAATGAGATGGGTATGTCTGGGAAAGACCAAGAAGGGGTAACAGGTAGGTTTCTTCAGTTAAGATTCATTGTCGCCCCGTTCGGGTTGCGATCCCTAAGGAAAGAAAGTTCTGAGAGAAGAGGATGGGTGGACGTCACAATAAGGCAAAAAGCATCACAGGGGGAACTTCCTATCAGAACTTTCTAACAATCAGGCGGGGAGCAGACAGCTCCATCTTGGACGGGGTGGTGGCCAGCAGCTCTCTCGGGCCAGGGCTGAAGAAAACCTCCAACGCTCGGACTGCCTCCCCGACTTCCGAAGCAGCGGTGTCGTTCGGGGCTGACCGACGAGCATCCCTAGGGACAGGGCCATGTTCAAGTGCCGGTTCCCGCGCTGCAAGAGGGGGCGGCGGCCGGAGCTGGCCCAGGGGGAGGGCGGCACGGAACCGCCACGCGCACACGCCTCGGGCCGGGGCGGCCGAGGATAAGGGGCCTGAGGGAGCGGACGCTCGAGAACGGGCGCCCCCGGGACCACCTGGGCCACCGGGCCGACGCCCGTGGGGGCAGAGCGCGCCTCACGTGAGGCGAGGGGCGGGGCAATCCGCTCCTCGCCTCAGGCGGAATCGCTCACCCGACGGCACGTAGTCCTCGTCCTCCTCCGACGTGGAGAAGTCTTCGGAGTCGAATTCCTCCATGTTGCTGCCGCTTGATGCCGGTCAAACTCGCAGGACCGCAGCAGCTGCCTCCAACGGCAAAGCTCTAGGGAGAGACCATAGAGCCCCGGCAGCGACGACGGCAGCTAGGGCGGCCCCGACAGCGCTTTGCACATGCGCAGAGAGTACTACGTGGTTTCCTTACGACACTTCCGGCCGATGCCTGCGGGCTGGCGTCCCGGAGCCCCTCACTGGGAGCCCGAACCCGCCCGGACGCGGTGCATGCTGGGACTTGTAGTCTTCGGCGCTGCCTCGCCGCCTTCATTTACTAACTCTGCTTAAATAAAATTACATATCTGTGGAAATACAGGTGACCTTCATTAATCATTAGTTCGTAATGTCAAATTCACTTACTTGCCAAAATGTATTTGTAACCCTAAAATCAATCATCACGGTACTTTCTGGGGTTCTTCCCGGGCATGCGCAGAGGGTGAAAATTTGGAGTTGGCGGAGGTACAGGTTCCCAGCTGAGGTTTGAACTAGGCAGAAGCCCCGCCTTCTAATTGCACCTCCCGTGCTGTAAACAAAGAGTCCTTTCTGCAATCTGTTTACTGACACTTTTTTTCCTGCTTTTTGTGGGTGCTTTTGCTGTTTAAAATGGCCCCCAAGCGTAGAGCTGAAGCTCTGGCCGGTGTTCCTAAGCAAAAGGAAGACTGACGTGCCTTACGGGAAAGTCCACGTGTTGGATAAGCTCCGATCAGGAATGAGTTACTTTGCTGTTGGCCATGAGCTCAATGTTAACGAGTCGACAATCCCGTACATCAAGAAAAAGGTAAAGGAAATTCACCGATCTGTCCGTGAGGCCGCTCCGGATAGTGCGGAAGTGACCTACATCGTGCGTGATGAAGCTATGGAAAAGATAGAAAAGCGGCTAAATTTGTGGATTCATGAGATGTCGACGGATTAAAAACAAACAAACAAACAAACAAAAACGTAGTGGACCGCACTGTTGTGAGGCTGAAAGCCAAAGTTATCTATGGTCACGTTACCCAGGGTCAGAGAAATGCTAAACCTTTCTCGGCGAGTGCTGGCTGGCTCGCGCGTTTCCAAACGGCGATACGGGTAAACAATGTTAAACTTGCTGGTGAGGCGAGTTCTGCAGATCAGAAGGCTGCGGAAGAATTTTTAAAATACTTGCTAAGTGTTATACAGGAAAAGCGTTATGTGGAAGAGCAGGTTTTCAATGACGATGAGACTGGCTTATTTTACAAGGATGTTGGCAAACGAACCTACATAATGCAAACGGCCTCCAAAGCCCCTGGCTTTAAATCATGCCAGGATCATGCACCCTTGTTATTGTGCGCCAATGCCAAGGGCGACTTTAAGTGCAAACCCCTAATGGTGTACAGAACCCTAAATCCACAAGCGCTTAACGGGAAATACGGGAACCATCTGCTAGTCCACTGGAGTTGGAACAGAAAAGTGTGGATGATGTCCAATTGGTTCCACAGCTGCTTCATCCCAGAAGTTGAACACTATCTCCAGGGCAGAAACCTTGCCTTCAACGTTTTGTTTGTTTGTTTGTTTTTTAACGGAGTTTCGCTCTGTCACCCAGGCTGGAGTGCAGTGGCGCGATCTCGGCTCACTGCAAGCTCCGCCTCCCGGGTTCACACCGTTCTCCTGCCTCAGCCTCCCGAGTAGCTGGAGCTACAGGCGCCCGCCACCTCGCCCGGCTAATTTTTTGTATTTTCAGTAGAGACGGGGTTTCACCGTGTTAGCCAGGATGGTCTCGATCTCCTGACCTCGTGATCCGCCCGCCTCGGCCTCCCAAAGTGCTGGGATTACAGGCGTGAACCTATAATCTGCGCCCGGTGCCTTCAAGGTTTTATTAATTTTGGATAATGCGACAATCCATTGCTGCAAAGAACTTGAAAATGCACAACCCAACATACAAGTTCTTTTTATGCCCCCAAACACTAAGTCTCTCATTCAACCCCTCAGTCAGGGCATAATAAAAGCGTTTAAGGCACACTACACAAGGGAGCTTTATACGAAGGCCTGTGAGGCTCTCAGGACCAACAAGGAAACCGCCATGCTGGACTATTGGAAGTCGGTCACTATACTCAACGTTATTCATTATGTCGGCACAGCCTGGGAGCATTGGTCAGGCTACTATCAATAACTGTTGGGAAAATGTTTGGCCAGACTGCGTGGAGAATTTTGAAGGCTTTTAAGGTGTTACACAAAGTATAAAGAACAGTGTCAGAGACATAATGCATATGGCACAGCAGATAAGTGGAGAGGGCTTTGATGACATGAAGGAAAGAGATATGGAGGAGATTTTGGCAGAGAAGGCAGTGGAACCAATGAAGACCTGGATGAGATGGCAAAACAAGGCATTGGAGTTGACGAAGAGGATGGCCACATGAAAGTCGGCCGGAGACTTCCAGAATTGTCCCTCTCACAGCAGCCAAAATACTGGAATGGAGTTCTGCCTTGGAAAAAACTTTTATCGACATGGAAGAGTGTGACTCTATGCTTGATCGAAGCCTCAAATTTAAGCGCCTGGCCTCCACTGCGTTTGCCCCTTATACCGAGATGCTTAAAGATTTCAGGCAGAAAAGCCAAGCAGGCGGCCGGGCGCGGTGTTTCAAGCCTGTAATCCCAGCACTTTGGGAGGCTGAGACGGGCGGATCACAAGGTCAGGAGATCAAGACCATCCTGGCTAACACGGTGAAACCCCGTCTCTACTAAAAATACAAAAAAATTAGCCGGGCGTGGTAGCGGGCGCCTGTAGTCCCAGCTACTCGGGAGGCTGAGGCAGGAGAATGGCGTGAACCCAGGAGGCGGAGCTTGTAGTGAGCCAAGATCGTGCCACTGCACTCCAGCCTGGGCGACAGAGCAAAGACTCCGACTCAAAAAAAAAAAAAAAAAAAAAAAAAAGCGCCAAGCAGGCAAGGCTAATGCAATTTCCCAAGCCAGTTTGGGAGGGAAGATTGCCCACTCCTTCAACAAGTGTCAAGAGCCGACTCCTAAGGTAGAAATGCCAGAGTTTCACCTGCCACCCTCTTCCTCTTCTGCAGAATAAATTTCACTCACCCCTCCCCTGGTTTCTGTGGCACAAGCCAAGGTCGAGAGGTTTAACCACATTGTGCAGGTCCATCAACCATAAGATTTTAGTTGATATTTTTATAAAACTTAGGATGCTCCGTCTTTTTCACTTTATTTGTATTGCTGTACTGTAGCGTATACAGTATGTGTGCGAAGTAGTGTACGTGTTTACTGTGGGAACTGTACGGTATGTTATGCTGTTTACTGTATATGGGTACTATATGTGTGTACTCTGTGCGTGACAATGAAAAGGTAGTACAGGCCGGGTGTGGTGGCTCACACCTGTAATCACAGCACTTTGGGAGGCCAAGGTGGGCGGATCACAAGGTCAGGAGTTCAAGACCATCCTGACCAACATGGTGAAACCCTGTCTCTACTAAAAATACAAAACTTAGCTGTGCGTGGTGGCAGGCGCCTGTAATCCCAGCTACTCAGGAGACTGAAGCAGGAGAATCGTTTGAACCTGGGAGTCGGAGGTTGCAGTGAGCCAAGATCATGCCATTGCACTCCAGCCTGGACAAAAGGGCAAGACTCTGACTCAAAAAAAAAAAAAAGTAGTACAATCTCAGTATACTAGAGTACATTACACCAAACTACTGTCATTGAAATTTTATTGTAAATACTGCAGATTATTTCTAAGAAAAACATATTAAATAAGGTGTCCTTGAACGGAAACACACATAAAACAAAGTTACATACTGATCAGTTGACACAAGTGTTGACCAGAGGTTCACAGGAACCTAACCCTGTATTTCACCCAGGAGCCATGGTTCAGTTTTTGCTAATTCAATGTTCTCGACAACTTTATAGACATAACTACTGTGAATACAAAGAATGGACTATTCAGGAATGCAGTTATCATCCACACGAACTCTTCAAGTTAAATCATATGTAAGTGCAACCATATATAATCTTTACCATTTCTTCAGATTAAAACATTTTAATGATCTATTTATGAGGTAACAATCAGAAGCAAATTCAGAAGAGACATCAATGACTACCATACTATTTGGTTTTGTTTGTTTGTATTTGAGATGGAGTCTCGCTCCCTGGTTCAAGCAATTTCCCTGCCTCAGCCTCCCAAGTAGCTGGGATTACAGGCACACGCCACCACGCCTGGCTAATCTTTTTGTATTTTTAGTAGAGATGGGGTTTCATCATGTTAGCTAGACTGGTCTCAAACTCCTGACCTCAGGCAATCTGCCTGCCTCGACCTCCCAAAGTGCTGCGATTACAGGCGTGAGCTACAGTGCCTGGCAACTATTTGCTTATCCTATATACAGATAGGAGTTTTTGTCAGCTGAAATTGCTCCTCATTGATACTCTGGACTAGACTGGGTCTGTAAATCCAGGAAATCAAGAAATAAATCTTTTGTGAATCAAGGCATAGACGAGACATGCATGTGATTAATAAGACATTACAGTGGCTCTATACCTGCAAACTTTAAAAAATAGCCTTATTGAGACACAATTCACACACCATAAAATGTACCCATTTAAAGTGCACAATTCAGGCCAGGTGCGGTGGCACTCTAGCCTGGGTGACAGAGTTAGACTTCGACTCAATAAAATAAAATAAAATTTGAAAGTGCACAATTCAATTGTTTTTGGTATATTCAGACTTGCACAATCATCACTAAATCCATTTAGAACATTTTCATTGCCCCAAAAATAAACCGTTTCTCACTCCCCATTCATGCTCATTCTTCTCCTCAAAGACCATCCTCTATAGATTTGCTTATTCTAAACATTTATTTCATATGAATGGAATCAGACAATATGTGGTCTTTGAGGCCTGGTTTCTTTCACTTAGCATGACATTTTCAAAGTTCATTTCTCTTAGATATATCGTATAATTAGCCTGATCATATAATTGCCTTACGCCTGTAATGCCAGCACTTTGGGAGGCCGAGGTGGGCGGATCACCTGAGGTCAGGAGTTCAAAACCAGCCTGGTCAACATGGTGAAACTCCGTCTCTACTAAAAATACAAAAATTAGGCAGGGCGCGGTGGCTCAAGCCTGTAATCCCAGCACTTTGGGAGGCCGAGACGGGCGGATCACGAGGTCAGGAGATCGAGACCATCCTGGCTAACA